GACAGACGGCCCAAGTCCTCCGCCGGTGTGCGCGCCAGCTTCTGGCACTGCCTTGCCGTCCCCTGTTTGGCCACGTGCGGGGAGGCCGGTCTGGCATGCGTTCCCCCCCTGGCTGGCTGGCTAGCTGCCTAGCTGCCCGTCCGCCCGCCCCTCGCCTTCTCCGTCTCCCACACTACCCTCCGTCGCCGCTCTGTCACTTCAAGTCCAACCCCTGAGAGGGCAGCCAATAGCAGGCGTGCCATAGTCATCCGTCTTCTCGTCTTAAAGCTATAGTGTGTGTATGTGTGTGGGGGGCGAGCGGCGTCTAAATCTCTCGCGCCTGTCCCTCCTCGGTTGTTTGCCTTCTCGCCGCGCTCGCCTCAGTGTGATTGGACGAGCGGGCGCGTGTGGATGCGCTCCGTCTCTCCCTCTCCCTCCCTCTCTCTCTCCCTCTCTTTCGGCCGGTCCTACTCTTCCCCCCAACCCCTCCCCTTTCTTTCTTTCTTTTTTTTCCTCCCCATCTCTCGCTCCCCTCTTTCCCTCCTGGTCCTTTCCCCTTAATTGCCTGCTGCTCTCTTGCTACTCTTGCGCTCCGTTTCTCCTCAGTGTGAACTAGCCGCTTTTCTCTGTCAACTGGGAATGCTAAAACAGAACTGATGGACATTTCCGAACTTTGCATCTCAGACCCTCTCAGCTACCACAACCAGTAGGTGCACTTCTTTCTTTCTTTCTTTCTTTCTTTCTTTCTTTCTTTCTTTCTTTCTCTTTCTTTCTTTCTTTCTTTCTTTCTTTCTTTCTTTCTTTCTTTCTTTCTTTCTTTCTTTCTTTCTTTCTTTCTTTCTTTCTTTCTTTCTTTCTTTCTTTCTTACGCTTCCATTTTTTTGGGGGATTGCTGCTCCCTGTTAAAGGAAGGGACAGGATGCTGTGGGATCCAGCTGTGGCCGTGGTCTCCGAGGAACGCTGTATAGTATTCCATGAAGTGAGACGAAATTCTATTAAGTATTCCTCCTCTTTCCTTTTTTTATGTGAAGAGTTGATGAACCGTGTGGCCTGTCTATGGGATGTACTGTGTGCAAAAACGTGTGTGTGTGTGTGTGTGTGCGTGTGCAGGTGCGTGTGCCTGTGCAGTTGTGTGCGGTGTATATCGGCATAAATAGCTTGCGTGTGTGTGAGTTAAAGATTAGATTATAGAGCAGGAAAAGGAGAGGAAGAAGAAAAGAGCAATGAAACTTCCCACTTTCGGGCAGACTTCTGCTTGCACCGCTTTGATGATCACATAACTTCTTTCTCTCAGGCTGGCAAAAGGCTTAAAATGGGAAGCCCACTGAGCCTAACAATGTTAAAACACATCATTTTCTAGTGAAGTACAGTAACATTTGGTTTGGATTGGTTTGGATGTGTATGTCTGTCAAAATATATCTCGTTCATTTGCAGTCATGATGGGGAGGGGCAGGAAGAATATATTTTAACTTTTTTTTTTGAAATTCCACAACTCACTGTGTGAAATTCTCTTACAGCCCTTACTCAGAGGAACCAGGGGTAGGAATGGCGTGAGTTGTGCAAGTTTTTAAGCTGATGACAGATCGAGCACCTGCTGGTGTTCAGATTGTGTGTGTGTTTGTTTATTTTTTGTATGTTGTCCTGAAAAGTGCACCCACTTGCTGCTGTTTTGGTTTAGACAATTTTAGTAAAGAAAGGGCTTGATGAGCTTTGTGTGGGACTTTGGAGAGTGGCTGGCATTTACCTGTCACTTGTGCCTGCACAACTGGTATGGTTTCTTCCCAGGTTTGCTTCTCTTCATTTGAGAAACTTCTTCTAAGCCACGTCTTTTGTGTGTTTGTATGTGAAAGCATGTGAAACCTCTAAAAACGCAGTTGATGAATGTGTTCCTTTTATCCCCAAGGATGGTAGATAAAGTACTTCACCTTAACAAAAGTTTAAGGGAGGAAATAATAATAAATAAAATTTACTAGAGGAATCCTCATTTGCCAGTCCCTCCTCTTTTCCTTTTGACATCTCTCTTCCCTGCTTCTCTCTCCCCCTCTCTCCTACCCTTCTGAGTAGCTTCATTCCTCTTTGTTGCTCCTCATTACCTTCCATGACAATAAAAGATATTCAGGACATAATCTTCACTGGGTTTTCTTTTCTGGAGTTCTCTGGCATGTGCCAGCTTCCCTCCTTCATTACAGGATTAAAAATATCATTTTCAATCTTGATTTACAGCTTTCATGAAAGGTTAAACATGAAACCATATATCATTTCATATTTTATTAAAAGCACAGATTAAAACGTGAAGCGTGATTTTTTTTTTACAAAAAGAACGTATTCATTGTTTTTTAGCTACTGGCATGTGCTTTTTTTCTTTTCATCCCAACCCTTTATGCATACCCTACTTGCAGAATGAGAGAGATAGATACCAGCACACAAAATAACCAAAAGATAGTTTTTTTCTTGCCTGATTCATGTAATTTTTAGTGGTAGCAGCTCATCAACACTGCTGTGCATTAAAAAAAGTTCTTCTACTCTATTTTTTTTTGTTTGCTTTACCATTAAGGAAACAAAAGTGAACCAAGAGGATGCGTTATTGAAAGACTTGGTACACAGCAGATAGATAGGGACAGAATATGTTGTCATTTTAAGGGTGCAGTGCTATAGTCACTTAGCAGAGAGTGAACTCCACTGAACTCAAGGGAATTTGTTTTGAATAGGCAGGCATAGGATTGTGCTTCTACCACATAGCTTTTAAGAAGAAGAGTTCTACCTTGAGTGGCATGGAGTTGTATTTGTTTTGTAATCTTTTAAAAGAAAGATTAAAAGCTTTTTTAAAATTAAGTTCATACTATTAAAAATATTGTCAAAAGAATTTTGGATTGATCTTCATGATTTGTACATAACTACACAGAATTCAGACAAATACTATGAGGGTCCTTCTTCCAGGTGCATTTAGCTCTTGTTTAGAGCATTGGCGCAAGTTCAGGTCAGCTCCAATCAAATGAATGACCATTTATCTGCTGTACACAGATGACTGGATGTACAAGCCTCATTTTACTATCTGCCTGCATATATGTATTCTCTGTCCTGAGTTTTGATAATATGCACCATTATTTTAAAGCCGCTCTTTTATATTTCTGTAATGGTTATCAGATTGAGGGGTGAAATTTCAATAATTTGTTTCATGAGTTTATAACATTGAATAATAACTGTTCCCTCCTCTTTATTTGCAAAACAGTTTTATTATAAAAAAAAATAACTTTGTTGTATTTTGAATATATTAACTTTTCTTGAGGTTGCTACATGTCTGTCTAAACTGAAGAAATGACAGTGAGAGGCAAAAAAGCAATATGTGTTAATACCTATAGTGATTTCAACCAGGACCTGACTGAGTTGAGAAACTAATCTTCCACTTAGTCTCAGGATACAGTACATTGTGTTTCATCTTATTGGGGAAGGAGAGTTCTTTATCTTCCTCTACCAAACAAATATGTGTTTTCATGTGAAATAAACATGAACGTTTCTGTTGCTTCTTGAAGCGTAGGATTCTTCCCCCTATGCATACATAAATATATGTAAATGGTTGGGTTATATATATATGTGCGTGTGTGAGAGAGGATGAAAGTATTAATAGATAAATGAATTAAAGTCTATGTACAGGTATATATACACATACACTTTAATTCATTTTGATCTTTATAGATATATTCTCCATTAGTTCCTTGTAATTATTAATATAGCCTGGGAAGGTTGGACTGCCCATAGCACAGACAGATCCTAGGAAAAATGTTTGACAAGCAAACCCCCAAAATAAATGAATCTCCAGATTGTTTTACAGGTCAAGATAGGCTAAGTGCATCAAATTAGTTAAAACTGCACTGACAGTGTTTGTCTGCAGTACAATGACTATGTAATGCAGATCTGAATGTATGCATAAATATCTGGTCCAGATGTATATATCTGTGATTGTACGCTTAAATGTAAACCCACATAATATATTTTGATGTAAAGTTCAGCCGTTTTTGTTTGCTTTACCATTTAAGTTCCAGCCCCATACTTTTTCTTTTCTGTCTTTTCTTTTACTGATAGCCTCAGACGTTCTTAAAGCTGTAGAAAATACTTTTTGCTGTTCTTAATCAGTGATATCAATACATCATGGTTACTACTCACTATATTAGGAAAAATAATAGCAAAGCTGATGTCTAAAATATTCTGTCAGGTGTGCCTGTTAACATGCTTTCTGTATCTTGGAGAAAGATGTAGAAATGTTGGCCTTGTAAAATGTGAAAAATAATTAGTCCCCCCCCCCCGACACTCAGGGAAACTCAGATTCACATGGAAGCAAGAGCGTTATTCCATTCTGTATAAGAATAAGTAGGATCATTAATTTTGGTTTGTTTTAATCCTTCTTGCTTAGCTGGACCAATAACATGTAACTTGGTTATAGAAGGATTATGGTAACACTCAGTGAACACTGTTAGAAAGGTTGAATGAATGGGCTTGAATGAAAGGTGGTCTTTACTCTCTGCACCCCCTGCTCCAGCTAGTTCTGAGAGTAGAAGACATTCTAAACTGAAAAACTGAATGAAGATGTAAGTGCCCTGGGCATTCCGAGACATCCACAATAGGGATCTGCTCTTTCTGTGTGTTTTCTTACTGACAGAATAATTCAAGAAGGTGTTAACGCAAAGGAGCAAAGGAGTGGGCAGAGCTGGCTTCTCTGAACAGATTTCCTATTGTGTAGCTTTACCAAGAGTTTGGCCAATCTTAGAAGTTAAAGGAAAATGTTAACCTTTCTTCTGCCTTCATTTGATATTCTACTCCCCATCCTCCAATATCAATTATTGAAAAAATGTGGAAAGATCAATGTATTATTAATATTCTAGGGGAAAACAACAACTGGATAAAGGTGTTTTCAGTCTATTGATCAGAAATAATCAAGATGTATTGCAGTTGGCTTCAAAGGGAGAAAAGTAGATTTTGGGAAGCATCACAGAAAGTTTCTGTGACAGAAATTGCACAGCTGAATTGTTCTTCCCCGACAAGAGGGTATAGGACCTAAAATCGTCCGCCCTTGGCTTTCTAACACACTTCCAGTGTCTTCTATATTCTGCCTTGCTTGTTTTCTTAAAAATCTTTCGCTCATCTTATAAAACAGCATTTATTTAATCCCTCCAATAAGAAATGTTACCCACATGGTAGTTCTAAACACATGAAACATTTTTTCTGGGCATAAGGGAAATGGTAAAAAAGGGGAAGTAAATAGATTATCTGTGCAACCATATGAAGTTTTACCCAGAAGTAAGTCCCACTTGGTTTAATGGGGCACACTTTCTGGTGTTTTTAGGATTATAGTTTTAAGTGCCCGTTGAACCAAAATTGAGCATTAAGGTGACATTCTATTGTAAGTATGTATACATGTTTAGGATGCATTTGCATAAGGAAGTAGGGCAAACATGGGACAGGCAAGATATATTTATGGTGCTGCCCAATCTGTTCTGTGTCTGACACTCTGGAGGTTGAAGAGTGCTCAGGGTATTTGTAATGTGGGTATGTTGGTAGCGTTGAACGCTCTTTCAGTTTATTTTAAAGAGGCTGGATTCCTAATCACACATACAAAGGAGTAAACTCCATTGATTTTAGTGGGACACACTTCTAAATCACACTGCTTGAAAAGGAGAGTTAAAACAAATGATACAGAAATTTGCATGTAGACATTTCCTGTGATATTTTCAATATTTGTACAGTACTGTGCCCAATGCACTACAGAGGGCATTGTCTTAGCAAGCAGGGAATATTGTAAATAGTTCGAAATTGTTATATGTTAGTTTAAGAATGTAGTAACATAGCAACTAAGAACATAGCAAAAATGCAACCAGCAAGGTTTAAAAATTACATTCTGTTTCAACATCATAGAATTAGCAGGTGTAATTGGTCTTATACTCTGTAAGTGCTTCATAAAAGTACTTTATATGTTCAAGTGGATATGTTAAAACTCTAGCTCGTGGATTTGACATTTGTAAACATTTACATAGGCTTGGAGTAATATTCTCATTAATGGTGAATGATTTTGGAGGCATTTCTTACATGTTATCTTTCTCTAACTTCTCTATATGAGTTTGACCTCTTAACTTTGGAGCTCTTTTCTAACTTCTTTTACCAGTCTTGGGTTGCCTGCTAAGTGATCCTTCCAGATGAAGTACCCGTTTATTTTGTCTGTCAAGAAGCACTTTGAGGGCTATTCTGCTGGATGTGAATATTTGTTAAGAAAAATATGCCTTCTTCAAGTGGAATGCACTGCAGAAGAACATCTTTGCCGTGCTTGTAATTGCAAATGTAATTAGCAAACATGCTCTGGGGGATTAAGGACCTGGAACTTTCACTGCACATGACTTGACCCTGTGTTAGCCAAGCAGGAATAGTGCATACACTATTTAACCCATGCCAGTTCTGGATTTCAGTCTTTGTCATGTTTTGTTACTCATAGATTTCTGCTCCATAGTGATGAACTGGCCCCTTTTCTTGGATTTCCCCCTGTTTTCAGTTCTTCAGAAGAGAACAGCAACACACCCAAATTCTCTTCTCCTTTATGAAAGAAGAGTGTGCGGATCTATAGTCGCTTGTGGAACTGTTAGGTACTCACAGGCACCTCCAGTGTATTATTATCCTGCTTTGTTTTGCAGAGGCAAGTTGCAAAAAGCAGGTGGCAGACTGCTGACATGCAAGAGGTGCCAGCTTTGTGGCTGGATTTCTGTTTCTTGCTCTCCTCTGCTCCTTGCTCCTGCTACCCTCACTTTGGTTTCTTTTTTATCAGTCCCCTCACTGTGTTTAGATTTGGGAACCACCTCCTTTAAATTCCCATTCCTTGTGCTAATTTTGTCAGCCTGTGTGGAATATACTTGACTGAGAAGTGTCTTGCAAACAAAAGACACAGGATTCATTCAGAAATTCCCAAAGTTTGAGTGTTCATTGATCCAGAGTTCTTTTTCGCTTTCTCATGTAAATGTCATCATGTTAGAGGTTCTTTTCTGCCCCTATTTATGTACAATATTTAAGTTGCAGTTACATGCCATGACAAAGCTGTTTTTGTTTTGTTTTTTAGTGTGAAAGGGAATGGATTAAGAATAGAGAGAGGCGGCGTATCTTGCCCGATTCTGCACTGTCGGTGAGGCGTTGATTTCTAGGGTATCTCCATCATTGTTACATCCTGTTTATGGGGGAGGAAAGGAAAGTATTGTAGGTAGGCTACTGAAATTTGTGCAGAATCCTGTATTCCATGTTCTCCTTTTGTTCAGACAGAATTATATTTTTGTGTCCATTTGTATGCATCAGATAACAGTTGAGTCACTTGCAGGTCCTTCAACTGAAAATGCCTTCTGCAGTGACGAGAGTGTTTTCTATTTGGCTTTTGAGGTTAGCTGAGTTGTTTTACCTTTAGTTGTTTGAGTCACTCTGTTTATATATATTAGCCATTTGCCCAGAGGTCCACTCTTGTGGACATTTTCAAGGAAACTCATTTTGCTTGTTTATTTATTTTAAATTCAAGTGTTACTCCGACCCAGACCTCACCTTTGCACTTGTAAGGACCACTCTGTATAAACAGAGCAGCTTTTAAGAGTAGCCCATGTGCATGCAGAGTGTGTTCTGCTTAGTCAAGAATAGTACTATAAAAATTGTTTTGAAACAACCAGTTTTTGCTTTTTACATTTTGTGTAGGACAGCTGGATAAACAGTTTGCAGCTTTACTGCAAAAATACAGAGAATGGTATTTTTTCCTCACTAGAACTTATTGATAAAACAGTTTTAAAGATGTGTATTAAGTGTGCCCCTTACAGAGACAAAGTGCATGCCACATTTTCTATGTTATGTCTATGATTTTGTTTTACTAAAATGTTAAATGCATATGTAATTCTGTTACTTCACATATGGCATGTCAAAATGTATTTATTGTTTTTAAGTGCAAATGAATACTAATTACTTATCACCCTATGACAGAAAATAAAATGAAAATAATATAATATTTTACAACAGCTGTTACTTACAATTTAGTATCATAAATCTGTAGACATGGCTGTTAAGTACTTGGGCATTCATTTCAGAAAGGAGGCATATTGTAAGAAAATTCATCTTGTTTTTCTGTGACCATTATTAGTGGGGCTTATTCTCAGGGAATTTTTTCAGGTTTCTTCCTTCAACCTTTTTAAAATCCAAAAATGCACAGTTGCACAACATACTTGCTCAGTTGTAGAATTTATGGTTTAGATTTCTGTATTTATGTCATATGCTTGATATGTGAAAATGTGTTCTTTAGCAACAACTGATGATGATCATAAATTGTCCAGGTGCAGCTTAGTTAAGAATTCAGCTTATAAACTTTCTTTATGTACTTTCTACCTTTCTGGGCACTTTAGACTTCTCTCCATCCCTCTCCTCTTTCTATTCCATTTAAAGTCTCAAATGTTTCTAATTTTATATTGTTTCCTTTTTTTGCATATCTGGGGCAGGGGTTGTGAAGGAGCAGAGGTATTCCCCCTGCAGTGACAAGCCGTGTAGCTTTGAAGCCTAAAAACATAATGCCTACTGCTTGCCACACTTTAGTAGGCAATTTGGCATGTAAGTCTCTTGTGTCAAAAAGAACATCCAAAGGGAAGGGAGGCTCTTTGTGCAACTAACTGGCTTATTAATGCAGTAACAATTGACTCAATGCAGTCTGCAATGCAGTCTAACCTGGGACCAGAGGCAGGGGGAGAAGGTAGAGCTGCTGTCAAAGGCAGACTTTCAGGCAGAAAAGTAATCCCAAGATGGGCTTCCTAGGCGGATGTCCTAATATCCTTTAGAAAGGTTTGCCTTGATGTATCATGAGTGCTTTCTCCATTAGCAAGTTATAGAAACACTTCCCTTTGAAAATGAGAGCAATTGCTTTTGGGAGGATTATGCTTAAATGCATTTTTATAAAGAGTGGATAATTTAACTTTAGAATAAATGCATACATAGTTACACTGAATTTGATGCTCATACAAGCATCATATGGGTCTATTTTAATCACACACACATTTGTGTAACATTATATGTATGTGCTCATACAAGCATCATATGGATCTATTTTAATCACACACTTACACACACATTTGTGTAACATTATATGTATGTGAAAGTATAAACTGAGTTTCTGTGCTGTGTCTACACACAAATGTATATGGCATATGAGAATCAATATAAATGCAAATCATATGATTTGTACACAGTATATTAGTATACATACACAGTATTTTTCCTATATGTCTAATATTAATATCCTGGTAAATCTACATCTGCGTTCTACTTTCATCTGTATCTTGAACTATCTCAAGCTGTGTGAAAATAATAAACGTATCTCCCTTAAAATGTAATTCTGAATCAATGTGTGTAGAACACATCTCTATGTTCAAATAGCAATAGAAATGCAAGCTATTATATGTATATACTGTATAGTGCATGTAAAGCTTATTGGTAAATATAGTTTAATATGGGAGCAGCTAATATGTTTCAGAAGCTTTTACCCAGAGTAGATTTTGTCTAAAAGGGTGGGATAGAAATCTAATAATAAATTAAAATTTTTAAAAATCTGTTTACTATTCAAGCAGAAATTATGTCAGTTGTACTACCGTGTTTTATTTTGCCAAGAATGAAGCAGAATGGTTGGAGATTATAAGTTGAGGCATATTTCATATGAACACTATACGAATTCAGAGAAGGAATTCAGGAGTTTGTGCAGGGAGGGAGACTGTATGTACTGCTCTGGAATTGTATCAAAATGTGTTTTTCTTTTCAACTGATGAAAAGCGGACTTAAAATTTAAAAACAGTAACAACAGATTTTGTTGTGCTTTAAATTGTAGATCTCTGAGTAGTAATGTAGAAAAACCATACTGAGTAAACTATAAGGGCTATCTTCTGTTAATGATTTCCTCTCAGAACTCCTCATCATAGCCAGGTACTTTCCATCATGACAGGAACTGAACAGTTATTGTAATAACTTATTGGTTTATGGAGTGCATCTGATCCATATGCAGTCACTGAGGACAGCGTATTAGGACGACATCTTAGGAATGCATATGCTGAGTGACCAAATAGTGTTGTTTTATGTTTGCAATTTTTTTTTCCTTTTCCGTTTTCTCTGAGCAATTTAGGGAAATATAAACCTCAGACTCTTTAATGGGTGACTGAAATGAGCTAAATCAGGCCCTGTCTGTTTTTTTCCCCCCTTGGTCCATGTGAAGCTTCTTTTCATCAATCCGTGCAAAATGCTTTGGATTCAATTCCCTTGTTGGCCGAAGAGTTAAAAATTAATTCATGAATAATAAAAACCAATCAGTCTTGTTGAGTTTAAAGGGGATTAGAGAGAGGTTTTTGTCCAGAAGCAGTTATATATCTTGGTCCTGATGTTGTATCTATTAGATAGTGTACTGGATCTTGCTAGTTTATCTGATAACTGTGCCTGATTTACAAAATACAGTTGTTATCCTGATGACTAACGAACGTTGTATTGGCTGAATTAGCTGGGGTCATACAACTAGTGTCTCTTACAAGTTCAGAGCCCCTTTGGAGATAATTCACTTCATTTGAAAGCATTTTGAAGATAAAGCAATTGTAGCAAAGCATGTTTGTACAAGAATAGTTCTCGCTACTGTTGTTTATTAGTCAGACAGAGCTCTTTAAATAGAATCAGATTATGAATTGCCATTGAAATTCATTTGGGGATTTGGATAGTCGTGCACCCACAATGTCTTCAGATCTATACATGACTACACAAATTTATTCACAATGGCTCCTGCCCAGGAGAGGTTACGGTTCAGTACATAAATACTAAAAACCAAAATACTGGAAAAGCTTCAGTAGCAATAGTCAGACAGTCTCAGCCTTTAGAATGTTATTTTATTTTCCTCTGAGTAAAAGGCATTATATATTGCTCAGAAGCCCCAAGTCCTTTTTGTTTTTAGTTTCTGATTCCACTCTCCTTCCCCACTAGTTCAGGTCTTCGGAGAAAATTCTGCAAGGATTGGGCCAGTTTCTGCCTTTTATTCTCATGACTCTACAGTACTATTATATCTTAAGTACCTTTTTTTTCAAAAAAAGGTGCATGCTGTACAGAGAATCTGGGTGACTAGGTGGTTTGAAAATGTAGCCCAGAAATTATAATTGTACGCTGTTTGCAAAATGTGACTGATCTTATCCTATTCACTTACTGACACTCCATTTTATGATGTCACAAGGTGAACAAGTGCTGAAATTTTCCATACGTTCACAGTAAATACATGCACTCACATCCACCCTGAATTTTTGTGCCTTGTTTAGCCTAGGTGTCAAATGGTTCTGTAAAGAATATGCCATAAAAACTAGCTTACTGGATCAGACCAAAGGCCTGTCTAGTCCAGTATTGGGTCCCCAGAGTGGCTGCCTAACTGTATGTGGGAAATGAATAAGTGGTAGAACATACCTGCTCTTGTTCCCCAACAACTGGTATAACAGGCATACTACCTTTCGCACTGGAGGGGATGCATAGCCAAAGGCAAAGCCCTTTTCTGTCAGTGGAAGTTCATTTATGAAACACTGGATGAAGCCTTTAAAATTCATTTGGCGATCTGGAGTTTTTCATCCGTTGGACATGGGATGATGCCTATACTTTAGAAGGTTCTGATATGAAAGGCTTATGGGTGCATCCGCACTGACTATTTCAGTGCAACTTATATTGTAGTAGAGGGGAAAAATTGCAATGCATTGCATTCTACAAGTGGTTGAATCTGATCTGGAATGTCTTCTTTATTTATTTATTTATTTTATTAATTTAACTTATATGTCACCCACACTACCCAAAGGTCTCTGGGCGGCTTACAACAATTAAAATTCGGTAAAAAAAGATAAAACAATTAAAATACAATTAAAATATATACTCTAAAAATTGCCATCAGGACCCACTGTTGATATTATTTCAATTAAAAGCCTTCTGGAACAGGATGTTTTTGACCTGCCGCCGAAAGGTCATCAGCGTCAGCGCCAGACAAATCTCAATTGGGATGGCGTTCCGTAATCTGGGGGCAGCTGCCAAAAAGGCCCTTTGTCTACAAGCTATCTCTCTTACCTCCTTGAGGGACTGTCAGCTCTTTCAAAAGGGCTCCCTGGCTAGATC